GTTAGAATTGTGTCGATGTCCCAATATTTCTGGACCTGACTTTATCTGGACCCTTGATGAAAAGCAGCTGCCATAAGCCTTAGGGAGCAAGGAAAAAGAGTCTATAGACTGTGCCTCTACCCTAAAGAAAAAGAAGCAAAAGGAGGTGGTAACCAAAGATTCTCTACTGAGACAAACCAAAGCAGCAATCTATTAGCCAGATTGTCTAGCAAGAGAAATATGCTGCTTTCCTGGGGAATGTATGATGAAAAATGCAATGGTCAGTTCACAGGCTCATAAGGACAGTTTTATAACAGCGGACGGTTTTGTAAACAGCCACCGGCAAGTTCCTATGTTAACTTGAGATAAATGCCTTCTTCCTGGTTCACAAGAGAGAAGTTACAAAGAAACTGAAAAGGTCTCCACCTTAATGTAATGAAAGATAAATTGGTTCTAAAGTAAAAAGTGTTCAGTGCTGAAATCCTTGTAATCCTAAATCTTTCTTTCAATAAATCCTGTTAAAGACTTTGAGAATCTTGCTTGAAGAATTACTTTTAATTGAATCAGCTGCCAAGAGTCTAACACTAAAGTTCCCAAGACACCTGACAATTACAGATAGTCCATGGGTTACGACCACTCATTCTACGACCAAAGTTGTGATGGCGCTGAACAAGGGGGACTTACAACCAGTTTGTGAATTGGTGGCCATTGCAGTGACCCCATGGTCACAGGATTGTGATCCGGGGGCTCAGTGCCCAGCTCACAATTACAATACGCCAGTGAGCAGTGGTCACGTGACTGCAATTTCCAACATTCCCTGCCAGCTTCCCACAAGCAAAGTCAATGGGGAAGCCAGCAGGAAATTGGAAGTCACAGTCACTTGAGGTCCTCACTTAATGACCCATGTGGTCCCCACTTAACAACAGCAACTAGGACTACCAGAATTGCCATCACTAAGTGACGCGGTCACGTGACATTGCACTTTATGACCACTTTGCTTAGCAACAACTTCCATTGTAACCCGAGGACTACCTTTAGTAACAATGGAAGACTTCAACTTCCCAGACATCTGTTGGAAAACCAACCCAACCAAGATTGCAAAGTCCCCAAAATTTCCTGCTGGTCTTAATGACTGTTTCACTTTCTAGAACACGGGACAAAAGACAAGGAGTTTGGCTCTCCTATACTTGATCCTAACCAAGAGTGAAGTGCTGGGTTGAAGAAGTAAAAGCACTAGGAACCATGAGAGAAAGCAATCGCATCACCTTGGGGTTCAGGATTCTACAGAAAAAGAAACTGGAGTATAGCTGTATATTTCAGGAGAGCCAACTTCAACAAACCTAAAGAAGTGTAAGTGAGATCCCTGGGGGGAAAATGCGGGGTTGGAAAAATATTGGGTAGGGAATTTATAAAAAGTAAGATTCTAGACGTATAGTCAAAAACCATCCCAAGGAGGGAAAAAAATGCAGGACAGCTTAGGAAATCATTGCAGATGTGCAAGGAACTTTCACCTAAGTTAAGGAGATGTCAATCACTCTGAGGAGCCATAAACTATCACTAGTAACCCCAGGCATTTTTAATCAGTCCTTTTTCCATTCTGGTTTTGATACCACCACCTTGCTGTGAACTCATGGGAACAGAGTCAAATAATTTTCTGTTAATCTTCAGCTATGAATTTGATCATTCAGTAAAAACTGATTACAGGCGTAAACCCTCCTACCAACAACCTTTTAGTACAGACTGAGAAATTCCACATGCACATCTCCAAGAGAAAAAGCAGTCCAGATGCATTCATGCATTTAGGCCTTTAATTTACTTCTATTTCTCATCACTTCCCAAATAAGTATGGGAAGAACAGACCAGAGACCGGACAATTAGGGAAATAACTGAATTCTGCTCTCTACCAGTTTTATCACAGATGTCATAGCTTTCTTCCAAGCAATTCACCAAAGGGAGCAAGAATGAAAAGATTATTCAAGTGCAGAAAGCTTTCTTAGAATAATTACAATGTACAGACAAAGGTGACAAGTCAGCAGAATTGTGCAATTCAAGAATTTTTGCTCTAAAAGTAGAAGGAAACCCATTTCCAACGTATACAGTCCAAAACAGTAAACAGCATCCTCGCTATACTTCAGTTAAAATGTATTAACTCTGGTTTGTAAGAAGTACCTTCTGGAGGAGTAGTATTTTGGGAGAAACATGCAGTACTTTGTCTTCAAATATTGTCAACAAATCTACAGTCTCTCTCTCTCTCTCTCTCTCTAAGGGATAGGTGCCAACATGGGATGTGTACTGATGTTGAAAAGCAAAGGTAAATCTTGAGAGAAATTCCCTTCACAGTCCATTGTCTTGCACAGCTGTATTTAATCAGGTAACCTGATTCCCAAGAATAACTAGGAAAATCATTAGCTTTAGATAAGATGAACAAAGAACACTACCGTTGTGAAATAGAATTATGTAAGAACACTGTTCTACAATTTCTCTATTTTTTCAACATTAGCACCCAAATTGCACCACTCCAATTCCATCACACTGGACCACTGTATGATACAGCGAGAGTTTCTATTTTCCACCTAAAAATATATTCTGCAAAAGGAATGGGAGTCTATTAAGGTTAACTGCCAAAGAGCCCTCTTTTCTTACTTTCTTTGGAATATCCATCTTCAGATGAAGCAAGTTTCAGATCATTACACAAGCAGGACCATTGTGCAAAAAGTATTACACTGGCACACTGAACTGGATAATGATCTCAGTGGTCAAAGATGTCCTCTGGTAAGTTCTGATTGGACTTGATTCTTCAGTCATACACCCCATCCCTTTATTGTGTTGAATGTTGTCAAGACATTCTAATCCAGTTTCAATTATTGTACATAGTCTTTCTATCAGTAAACATTCAGGCACTGAGGACTCCATGCCAGTTTAGTAGTTTCCACTCTCCCCTTTGCATTTCAGTCCTATATCCACTGTTGGTTTGGTAGGCTTTTTTTTTTTTTAATATGGAACTGTTATTGCTTCTATAGGTCTCATTCTGTAGGGGTATTCTGAGAAATATAGCATTTGGTTTTGCTAGTAGCTTTTTTGCTTTTAATTTGCTTTTATCTCTGAGCAGTACACATACAGTAGTAGATTAAAAAAGGCTGAGTTGCAAGAGGGCATACCCAGCACTAAATCAATCGTCTTATTGCCTAGAATTCCCAAACTGAAACTCACAATATGACGGTGTCACATTAGCCACTGCACTTTACAGAGATAAAAACAGCAAACGTCTGTTGCTGTGTACAGCGCTTGAAAGCCAAACAGGAAAACTTCCTGCTTTAAGATGCTGAGCAACCAGGGAATCAGCTACACAGATCAAAGAAGATGCATGCAGAAGCTGCTGGGGAAGCTGGGGTAGGCAGCTGTTGCTGGACTGCTTCAAGCACAGTCGGGCTTGGCCAGAGCTGGTTTGGTTATTTTACTGGAGAACCTTCGTATACATATCACATATAGCAAATTTAAATAGTAAAGATGCCTTCAGGCTGAACTCTGCTCCTGGTAACTACATGGAACAATTTAGTTTTCCTGGCAACAGTTTGGATGTGATTTGCCACTGCATTCTTCTGGATGTTGTTGCTGCTGTTATTTCTTACACTACGCTACAGTCCTGGTATACCATCCAGGCACAGCTGTGCTTAGATCTTGAGCCCAAACAAGGCTGGCCAGGTGCCACTACCTGCTGAGGCTAGTTTCCCCAAATTTAAAAAAAAAAAAATGCCCGATATGGCATTCTGGAGTGCTTAAAATGGTAACCACATGCTGGGACCCAAACCTCCACTGGGGAGAGGATTTTGACGGCAGAAGCCACATCAAGCCAGCAGTGGAGGGTCTTGCAGGCAAGTTCGTTTTGCCTTCTTTTCTATCCAACATTCATAATATGAGATCACTAAGCTTCATGGTAGGGCTAGTCTTATGTAAAACATGCCCAAATAGCCACATATAACTCTTTAGTTTGATTGTTAAAATTATTTTAAATTCTAAAGCTAAGCTGTACTTCTAATAAAACCTTCACTATGTAACCATCACTATTTTCCCTATTTTTAAGTGTCAAAAAAGTGTCTGATATCATACCATGCAGTGGCGTACCACTTCATGTTTCACATGGAGTGTGGCTCATTTCTGACTGGTGAAAACTGAGTATGCATTCTGGCACACAATTAGCAAGCAGTCCTACTAAATACAGTGGATCTTATGTACATGTAAGAATATATAGAATTTGGTTATAAGGTATTTCTATTTCCAAAAAAATACAATTTTGAATAGTACTTTAAACAGAATGAATGTATTTAAAATACCAAGAAAAAGTGTGAATATACTGTATTTCAAAACATTTTCTTTACTCTTCAACAAACCTGGAGAAAGTTTATTCCCAAGGCTTTTGCAAAACTCTACTGGCTAGAATAAGCAGCTGCCTCATGCTCAATTTGTACAGCAAGCTAAGTTCAAAAACCTTTACCCAGCAGCTCTTATACTACGCTGTTAATTAACTGACCGTATACAAAGAGAACATTCTAAGTCTGATGTAGTCAGGAAGCCCATTAAGTCTGGACGATGGCCTTCAGTCGATTTTGTATCTGGTGATCTAGTTCCTGATGTATCTGGTGATGCATCCTCCTCCAAATCTGGTTTACAAAAAGAAAAAGAAAAAGACACATTACGAACATCACACACTGGCCATCTTCTCACTGAATCCTGCTTTGGTTATTTTTATTGCCTTTGCTTTGTGGGAGGTAGAGATCCAGGTAGACCAAGTCACATACCTGCAAGAATGAACTCTATTTTGTGAGGTCCCCCCTTAAGAAGGCTTAATACCAAAGGTCTACTATGGTGTTATGCCACGTGGCAATTGATTTTACATCAACATTGGCCATTTATATCTGTTTTGGGCTTTACTCCTACAGTGGTGGGTGGCAAGGGAAGGATAAGGGAGCGACTCGGATGCCTGCTGGTGAGGTAGGGCTGGCTAGGGGTACCACCAGTTGATGGGTGAGCCCTCTTCCTCCCTGGAGGGAGGAGGCCTTTGGGGACACACTGGGATGGGGAGCGGGGATGCAGTTTTCCATGCGGTCCTCAGCTCCCTTTGTGGCAGGCAGTTCTGCAGGTCAGCCAAGGAGGAGGAGTGATTTCTGATGTTCCCTGCCAGCTTTCCACAAGCAAAGTCAATGGGGAAGCTGGCAGGAAGGCAGAAGTCACTTCCACTGCCACTGCTTTTTTGCCCACCTGTGGTCATTCTGTTTCTCTGTTTAGGTAAGGAAATACCTCTGAAAGGGTGACCCAATGGATCACCAGTTGTCTAGTTAGCATTAAAACAGTACAATCTAATCAGGTCCCTATTGATATACAACAAGCATGATCCCTTGGGTCTTCTTGTTACAGAATTCAGCCTTGAGAGTAGTCATGTGATTCTACGAACATCAAGGGTTATGGGAACATGATCAAAGAACCTGCTTCAGGTGGTATTAGTGGAGGTGAGTGGTGGAGAGGCAGTCAATCATCAAATGATGGAGCAAGATTTTTCAAGCACTGGGCCAAAATAATTTATCGTAATAAAGGCATCAATTATTTCTCCCAGGCAGAGATGAGAAGCTTATTAAAAAAAAACATGGACTTGTAAACGTTTATTGATATTCTCACCTTCTTCTTTATTTGCAGAAAAGTCTGATCTGGACTTCTTCCTCATCCATTGTGACATGGGAAGTGCTGCCTGGCTGTGATCAGACATAGCTTCTTCCAGCGAAATTTCTTTTTGTTTCTTCACATCCTATTTAATAAAGGAAAGTAAGACACTAAACACTGGACCAAGAGCCACAACTATAGATAGGAAAACAAAAGAAAAGAAAAAGACAACACAACATACTCCCAAACTATATTTTACACATGCACACATTATTTCTTGATACAACTATACAGTATGATATCTTCTCTGGATACCGTTTTCTACTTACCATCTCCAATGAAGTGTGATCACACCTAAAGAAGGGAGTTGTATAAAACTTGAATCAAATTTCTTACACTGGAAATTGTCAGATGGTACTGATCCACATATTGTACACAAACAAAGTATCTTTAACCACTCCACAAGATCAATGAACTCATAGAGAGTAATCTGTTGATTGTACAATTTGGGCCTGATGTACTAGCTGAACTTCCAAAACTATCACTACTGCTGGAAAAACCTGAAGTTCCTAAACTTCCTGAAGTTCAGTTTTATTCACAACCGAAAAACTGTACAAAACTAGATAAGGGTAACTTGCATGTAATTTGGATTAAGGAGTTGCAATATCTGTTTTATCAAACCACTGGGTTAAAGCTTTAAATAATTTATAATTTAGACTCATAGGCTTTGGGCTTTCTCTACATTATAATCACTTTGGTTTAAAATTCATAGGGTTGTAAATTGTGCACTCAGAAAAGAAATAAGGGCAAAATATATGAATGTGATGTTGAATTATAGCCTGCAAATCTGGAACCTATCAAAATATGACGAACTTTAGATTTACTGTTTATAGGCAGCAGCTAAAAAGATTGTCGTACTCTAGCAGAAAGACTCTAATGAACCCAGCTTAAAATCCTGGATGAAAGATATGCTTATACTTTCTACATATAAGTTTATTTTTTTACCAGCTCTGTAAGAACTCTGATCAATATGATTCTGTGTGATCAAGATTTAATTTGTTACATAAGACCTGATACTGTTGCATATTTGATTGTTCTAACCTCCATTAACTTTATTGTTTTAACTACTGGTTCTTCCTTTGTTATTGCTGTTATATTGTTTTTCCTACACTTTAGTTATTTCCTGATTTATCTTTGCTTTGCTTTTAGTATTGCCATGTATTACGGTACTTAATGCTTACTTTTTAACTCTTGTATTTTTTTTATTATGACTACAGATTAAAAGCAGATATTGTTTAAAAGTAAAAGAGTTAGTATAGCTCTGTGAAAGATAAGACAGGCTTCCCCAATCCCTACAAATATTTGTAACTAGTTCTTTTTGTGTACAGATGAATGTGCAAGAACTTCTATAAGTGAGAAAACTAGAGGTGAGTGAACAGTCCTGACGTGGTTGGACACATGAAAGGATCCACGTGAAAGCCCCTTCACCAATATCCCATTATATACAAATACATATTTTTTTACAACATCTCTAAATTTGGAACTTGAACCATATGGTTCAAGTTCCATATGGGATGTAAGACATGGGATGGTACCATGGGATGGTAAGACACCATCCCATATGGCTTACCTGTAGAGGTTCTCCTTCAAAAGTCCCAAGGAAAGTCAACTGTTCCCCTGGATTAGAACCTTCCAAGTTCTGACTAGAATCGCTCTTCAGCTCTACAATAGTGCCGGGAACAGGGGAGGCATCATTTGTGAGAATCTGCAACAGCAAGATTTTACATTAGTCCATTTTGAAAGAGAAACCTCACAGTAGAATCTGGCTTCTGAGCAGGCTGCAAGGGTCCTGTCTCTCAGCTGGTTAAATATGAAGCCATTCAGATACAGGCTTCACTTTCTTCATGCTATACTTGAAGACAAGACTTCAAGTCAGTATTATTTTTAAAACATCTATTCCTTTTCACCAGTCCAGCATTCCACAATCTCAGGAACATTAAAATGTATGGACTTCAACTTCCAGAATTCCCCAGCCAACATGCTTAAAGCTGTTGAGATTGAGAAACACTGCACTACATAGAGAGATAACTTCCCACAGTTCTTAACAATCAGTAGCAACCTGCCTAACAATATATTTATTAGAGCCTAAATGTGATTTAGGCCACAGGTAAACATGCACATAACAACCGTCAGGAATGTTGTAAACCAAATGTACCTTTTCCCAGCATCATAAAAAAGTGACAGGTAAACTGTGTGTACGCACAGACATGTCAAATCATATTTTGCCATTCAAACCTTAATTTCTGCATAGCTCTGAAACTATTGTTTATATCACACAGCCTTCAGAATATTAGCCACCTCTCACAAGGGATAGGTGCATTACTATTATACTATGGTAAAATACCATTATATATACTTTTACTATCTCCAGAATATATTTATCAAAATGCCAATTTAATTTAAACAGAGATCTTTAGTTTGTGGCTGTTCAAATAATAACTTCTATTTCTTTAATTACAAAAATGGGGGCCACATTTCCAGTTTGAAGTATTTTACTTGAAGGATTTCTATACCATCTTTCTGAAAACAAATAACAAAGCAACAGTACATCCTGTAACTATTAAAACAATAACATCCTTAACAATTCTCAAGCACAACATTAAAATATTTTTCTAAAAAGAAAGAGTGATACCCAATTGCAGCAGTATGAGTAGATACAACTTTATAAATTCTATGATCTACAGCACAAGAATCTCATCTTCTTTTACTGAAATCTCAAAAACAAAACCCCTGGATCCTCCTACGTGAACCAATTAAACTTCCAATGTTTATTCTGGAGCTGCTTGGTCATCATAATGCAGTTACCTTTTCTATCTCATATTGAGCAGCATGGAAACTGGAATTCAGTGTAAGGCAATGTTGAAACTGTAGCAGGGCTTCTGATTGCTTCCCTACCTCCAAGAGCACTTTCCCTTTTCTAAAAAAGCCCTGAAAGAAATAAGAAACACATTTTAGTGGCCTTCCTGAACTGTCATATTATTCTGCAACTGCTGCAGACTGCTTTGTGTAATGCCAAAGACCGCAAGTTTAGTCCTCAGTGTAGACCAATGTTTCTCAACCTTGGCAACTTTAAGATGTATGGATTTCAATTTCCAGAATTCCCCAGCCAGCCATGCTGGCTGGGGAATTCTGGGAGTTGAAGTCCACACA